CAACCCCCCAACCCCCCAAACGAAACTTCTCTGTTCAAAGTTTTCTTTGCGGATTCGGGGAGATCTCGGYGAGCGCAGTCCAACCATGTTTTCAACAATTTTTTTATTTTTTTTTGACCCACTTTTGGACCCAACCGGAATTCCGGTTGGACCACCGGGGGTCCAACCGGCCCGGTTGGATCCGGGCCGGTCCAACCGGCCGGTTGCCGGCACAGCCATGGTGGACGTACTATTCTTTCGCCTTTTACTAAAGAATACCGTGGGCTGAGCACACGTAAGCAGCTTACGTGAATTTTTTACAGGTCTTCCAGACTAGGGGGAAAAAAAAAAAAAACACAAAAAAACTCAGATTATTGGGGTGGACTGCCGCCCTGGGGTTTCATGTCCGCTTCTGTTCCAATTCTGGTCCGCTTCTGCTCCGCTTCTGGTCCACTTCTGGTCCACTTCTGGTCTGCTTCTGGTCCACTTCCGGTGCACTTCTGGTCTGCTTCTGGTCTGCTTCTGGTCTGCTTAAGGTGTGTCCTATGGGCGGGGAGCAGCACTGATCTGCTTCTTCTCTGCTTCTGGTCTGTCCTATGGGTGAGGAGCAGCACTGGTCTGCTTAGGCTCTGTCCTATGGTTGGGGAGCAGCACCGGCTGACGATTGTCAGGGGTCAGTGTCCCATGAAGGATGGCAGACAGAATATACTGACATCAGATCCTTCAATTTTTTCCGTTCCAAGAAACAGTGCTGTTTTCACATTTTTCCACTTCCCCTTCCCCCCTTCTCCCCCCCCTCCCCGCCCCCCTCCCCCCTTGGTCCGTGCACAGGGGCGGCAGAAACACCTTTGGTGCACTAATGGATCAAGCCTAGTAACTGCACACGGTAGCAACAGTTAAACATACAGCTACTGAAATTGCAAGTCTGGTAAAACAAGACATGAACCAGACTTGCAAAACAGCATACCCATTTGCAAGCTATCCCAGCTTGCGATGTCCAGGAACGCATTAAACTACCGTCTTCGCCTGAATATAACGCCTGGTCATTATCACTCTTTCTAGACTGAAAGTTGAACCAAATACACAGCTATGATGACCGGGCGTTCTATTTGGGTGAAGAAGGTAGTGGAAGAGAGACTTTTTTCGAACTGAGGCAACTCAACTGGTGCAGCTGATGGGACAAATGTATCTTCGAACTCTCAGTAGGCAGTTGAAGACGAGTTGACAGCTTTTCAACTTTTAACTTTTAAGTTTCAAGTCATTCATCGATCACGATCAGCACCCTATGACCGGAAGATCAATGACTAAGCCAAACCATGTCAACCATGTCAACCAACTGCCAAATCACGTACATCACTTACGACCGGAAGATAACCGGATATCCAAGAAAGGAAGAAGAGAGGAGGAAGAGAGGCAGGGGAGGAGGAGCAGGAGCAGCAGCAGCAGCAGCAGCAGCAGCAGCAGCAGCAGCAGAAGCAGCAGCAGCAGCAGCAGCAGCAGCAGCAGCAGCAGAAGAAGAAGAAGAAGACGAAGAAGAAGAAACGACACAAACGCAGGATATGTAAAAGTCTTCCCGAACGCGACATAAAAAGATATAACGTTGGCTCATTGATCATACCCACTTGGAACAGAAAGGGATGGCTCTCCCTTGGTGCCATGCATGTAACAGAGGTTTCCCCTCTCCCAAGATCAACGAGACAGTAGAGCACCTCTTCCTGCAGTGCCCGGCCTCGATTCTTACATGGCGAGGATGGGTCCGGATCTGGAATTGTTTAGGCACAAATAGGGACTGGCCATGGGAATGGAGGGCCCTGCTAACCGGTCACTGGACTGCCCAATCCTCAACTTTCACATCCAACCTATTTCGGATAAGGAGGGAAGCCGTGCTATGGGCCATTTGGCGACGCAGATGCATCCTGGTGCTTGAAAACGCCCACGTCGAAATGGGGAAATGTCAGAAATGATCAGGGACAGGATTGAAATAGTAATTAGAGCACAATGGAAGAAGAAGGTATAAGAGATGAGAGCCCTTACAAAAAGAGCTGACATTACCCAAAAGCTTAAAAAATTCTGCATGGAATGGCTGGGGGGGGAACAAGGGGGACAGATTGCATGGATACAATGGGATGGGTGGCTGTTGGATGGCAATGATCGCCTGGATGAATCTCAGAAGGAGTATCGATTGCTTTTCCATAAATGGACTGAAATCCCCAGTGACATCCCACTCCCCCCGGCCTCTGAAT